GGAAGGGTCAGGACCCCCACCCCACTGCCCACCCCACACTGGCTGGGGGGACCCTGGTGCTGGGAGCGAACGCCTTCCCCTGCACCAGACTGTTATCCAGGCCATTGGGATAGGAGCAGGTGCAGATCATTTTGGGATCTGCTGAATCCTTCCTGATTGCCTCTCACCAATCCCAGTGCCTCCCCGCCCCTAACACCCATTTCTCCATCCTCTCCTCAAACCTTCCCATCAATCACATCCCCGCACTCCACACCCCCAGCTTGGCTTGCTCTGGGCTGGAATTGCGGGTGCCCCACGGGGCGCTGTGTGCCGCGGAGGCACGGAGGCGGCGAGGTCATTGTGCTCGGTGACAATGACAGCTGCCAGGCGCAGGTGCCCCTGCCGGGCTGAATGGCCCCAGGACGGATGGGGTCTTGCTGCCGCCCCCTCTTCCTCCTCCTCAATGCGGCTGGGGGCTGCCGGTTGCCTGTGCCAGGTTTTGGGAGTGCAGAGGCAGAGTGGGAGAGGAATGTGATGCTACTCTATGGTGCTGTCCTCTTAGGGCTGGGCATGGACGGAAGGGGCGAAAGGGTAAGAGAGAGCACTGGCTTTCAGGTGCTGGGCGTGGTGGGGCACATCCTGCCTATCTGGCTCAGGTGCTCAGCTCCCAGCACTGCCTTGGCATAGGCTCTCTCAGCAGCTGAGTGAAGGCGAGGACTGATCTGCCAGTGCTGCTTGGTTCAGTGGGCAATGGGTCCTAGGGTGCTTGCACCAGAGCCAGAGGGTGGAGGCATCAAGGGGGGGCCATAGAAGGGCACATGCCAGGGATCCAGGGTTGCCCATGGGGTGGGCACAATGTGCATGGCTGTGCATGGTAGGGGCATGGCTTGTCTGCTGTTTGGAAAGGGGGATCATGTTCCTGAATTCCTGATGTTGAGATAACATCACAACTGCTCGGTGGGGCTGGGAAACCCACCAGCATCCTCCCAGGGGACTGGGGGAGGTCAGTGAAGTTATTGGTACCCCAAAGAAGGAGGGCTCCTCATCCTTGCTGGAGGCACAGGGCACCCTGCAGGCTTAGGGTCCCCCAGGGATGAGGCAAGCAGTGCCTGTGGATGTTGGGGTGTTGGGGCAGCTGTGATTGACCTTGTGGGGTGGTGCTGTAGAGCCAGGGTGTGGGGAGGGCTGAATCCTGGCCAAAAGACAAGGAAAGCAAGGTAGAGCCCCTGGGGCCAGACCTGGAAACCTCCTTCCTGCATCAGCTGGGTGGCACATGGCTCTTGGGCAGTGCATCTGCTGGACTTGACACTGGTGAGGGATTGGAGCATGTCTCCTGCAGGGAGAGTCTGGGAGAACTGGGACTGTTCAGCCAGGAGGGGTGGTAGGAACTGGGGGGTTCTCAGCAATTGTGAATCTATATTTGAAGGGGAGGGAAACTTGAAAAAGGGAACCAGGCTTTTCTCAGTGGTGTCTGCCAATGGGCACAGATGAAAAATTAGGAAATTGCATATGAACACAAGAAAACAGTTCTCCTACTGTAAGATTGGCCAAATGCTAGCACAGGCTGCCCAGAGAGGCTGTGGAGCCTCCATCCATGGAGATATTCAGAACCCACAGGCTGAGTACCTCCATCGTCCTGGGCAGGTCTGAGTGACACCCCCAGGCTCCATCCCTAAAGCTCCCTGCAAGCCCCAGCCATGCCATGGCCAGCTGGCACCAAAGCCCATTTCCTCCCCACTGTGCCCCATGTTGCTCCCAACCTGGTGGCATGTGGCCTGGTGGGAGCTGGTGAGGGTCACCCCCTGCAGTGGCACCGTTCTGCAGGGCACTCACTGTGATGCTGCCTGGGAACCAGGGAGGCTGGGCTTGCTCTCATTAATCAGGGCTCACCAAGCTGGTGCCTGGGGTGTGAAGATAGCCCCAGTGTCGCCAGCCGGATGTTTGTGAGGTTTCTCAAGCGCTCTGCCCTCTCCCCGCTCACTTTTTCCATTATGCAAGTGTCGCTCTTGCCTGTCCGTGGCTGGG